GTAACCAGGATCAGCATCCAGCGCATCGTTGATTCTAGTTGAGCTCCAGAGTTTGTTGGTGAGCCTTCTTGTTCCGGAGGATCTTTTTTTATTGCTTTCAGTATTAGTTCATTAGGATGTCGTGGGTCTTGTCCCGACATCCATCTCAGTTGTTTAGATGATTCATAGATAGACAGTCAGATGTTAGTTCATTCGTCATTATTTTGTTATTGGTTTATGTTCAGATTTGAGTTGCGATTTTGGCTAAGTTAAATGTTTATTTCTGAAACATTATGAGTTTAGTTTTGAGACTGTTGAGTTATCTTGTATTTGGGTTCTCTTCTTAATGCTTAAAAGTCTTCCGCTGAGTAAGTAAGCCTGGCCAAGGGTTCGTTTGGGGCCAGCAATGGTTCTCGAGTGCCAGTCACGCCCAGGGTGTAGGCTCGGGGAGTGAAAATCTTAGTATTAGAGCACAGAGTTCAAGAGTCCGAGGGAGTCTATGAAGCCATGTCTGTAGAGTCCTAGTTATCGGTGTGAAGCACGCCACATCTATAATTAGGAGGCTACAACACTTAGGAATGTTCTCACTTCTTTCATACTCATTTTATGCGTTAAAGTTTGATCTCTAAGAAGTTTCTTCTATCTCGTGCTTGCGCGTGTCTTTCAGATCATGCCTCCACGAAGAGCTGCCAGAGGTCGTCCGTCTAGAAGGAATGTTGAACCACAGGAAGAAGGGGTACCTAATGCACCAGAAGTGCAACAGGTCACCAATGCTGAGTTCCGTGAGGCTATTCAGATGTTGAGCCAAGTTGTGACCAATAAAGCTGGACAACAGAGAGGGAATCGTCAGGAAGTGGTTGATACATCAAGGATCCGTGAGTTCTTAAGGATGAATCCTCCAAGCTTCACAGGTTCTAGTGTTACTGAGGATCCAGAGAATTTTGTGGAAGAACTTCAGAAAGATTTTGAAATCAAGCATGTTGTTGATACTGAGAGGGTGGAACTAGTTGCATACCAGGTGAAGGGTATCACTAGGATTTGGTTCGATCAATGGAAGAAGAACCGACCTGAGGATGCACCACCTGCGAGTTGGGCTTGTTTTGAGGAGGCCTTCTTGGGGCGTTCTCCCTCGAGAACTGAAAGAGGCTAAGGTACAAGAGTTCCTCACACTTAAGCAGGATTCTTTGAGTGTTCATGAATATAGTCTGAGGTTCACACAACTTTCCCGGTATGCTCCGGAGATGGTTGCTGACATGAGGAGAAGAATGAGTTTATTCGTTGCTGGGATGTCTCATCTGTCGAGAAAGAAAGGTAAGGCTGCAATGCTAATAGGTGACATGGATATAGCAAGGTTGATGGTCTACGTGCATCATTTTAATGATTACAAGTTGAGTGATAGAAAAGAGTTTAAGAATAAAAGAGCTAAGAAAGGGAATGAGTCCGGGCAGCAGAAGAATAATGCCAACCGGTCATCCTTCCAACAGAAATAGAAGGGACCTACTCTATCATCTGCTAGTGCACCTGCACCTAAGAACAAAAGTGACTACAATAGTTAGAATTTCAGAGACAAACCTGCCTATTCTCAAGGCAGTATGGCACAAGGGGGTAGTAAGCCTCCTGCATGTGCTAAGTGTGGTACGAACCACTCAGGTAT